TGTTGTTGCATTTCATCCCAAGCACGAATGGATCCTGGTCTCAAATTTTGTAGCCATGTTTTAGCTTTATCTTTTAATGAAAAAGAAAAAAAGCTTTAATCTTATGGTGTTCATGCTATAATTTGAGTCATTATAGGTGTTACAGACCTCCTCAAATTCCCTTAAATACAAGTATGGATTTTCTAAATCTAAGCAATGAAAAGAAGGTAAAAGTTAAATAATGTCTAGCTTAAAATTAAAATGAGATGCATTAGGAGGAAAAATTATACATGATGGTGCACTTGTTCTTATGGGATTTATGTGGTCTCTAAGTGTTCTAACACGTTATTCTCATTATTCTCATTATAAAGTGATTAATTATCTTCTTCGACCATATTTTCTAAAAATGATGAGGATACACTACAAAGTCTACCACTTAATGTATGTGACAACACTCGCATGCACGTGTAAGAATAGAATAAAAGGAAGAAAGAAAAAAAAAAACAAGAGAAAAGAAGCAAAGTTATATACAAGAAAAGTGAAAAGAGAAAATAAAATAAATACTATAATCTGTATAAGAACTTACCTACCCGGCAACGACATTAAAAACTTTACACGACTAAAAGATTGATGTGTTCTCCCAATTGCAGAAGTGTCTGCTCCCATTCAGGTGCACGTACACATAAAGCGGCATTTGATGAAGGAATTGCCAGAAACAGATGATAGTGTTGCACAGTGGTGTAAAGATATTTTTGTGGCCAAGGTGTGTATACCTATTTCACTTGTTTTGTTCAGTGCTGCTCCTTTCTGTTTTTGCTATTATATCCATATGAAACATTAAAATGTAAGGAAAATGATTGTAGACTTTACAAAGTTATTTGTTCTTGAGGCTGGTGTTCAACTCATTTATATGGTGGCATCTATTTGCATTGTTGTTGCTTGTCGCACCTCATTGCCTCCATTTGTAATACCAGGATGCATTACTGGACAAGCATATGGCTAATGACACCTTCAGTGCCCAAGAATTGCAAGATCATGGTCGATCAAAGAAGTCTCTTGTGGTTCACATTAGTTATCTTATTTGATTAATGTAACCTTATTAGTGTAACCTTTTCACATTGACATAATAAATTTAGCTAAACATAATAAAAAAAAGAAAA